CACCGAAACCTGTTCGCTAACGAGTACACAACACCTTCTTCTTCTCCTTTGCCATAGCTCGGCGCAGGTCACTCCCTTCGTAGCTCCTAACACACTAACCTACCACTAAATTTGACCCCGCCGTCGAATTCGCCTTATGCAAAAACTTCAAACTCGACTTTTTCCCCGCCTATTTTCATCAAGGACCGGGTAGGATCTTCCGTCTTTACACTCGGTCATAGCTAGTTTCATGAAGCCCCCACGCACCAACTTCCTTTCCTACCTCTTATTGTACTCCCTCTCTCCCAATTCCGATCGCAGAATCGGGGTCGCGAGCACCAAAAACCCCGATCTAGCACTTTTCCCCGGCCGATTCTATCAAGAATCGAGCGAGGTAAGTGCTTCTCCCCCTCGCCATGTTAGTTTCCCTTCATCTCCGACTGCACCTGATGCACGCCCGCGTCCAGGTTCGTCCAACCTTCTTCACTGCCCGTTGCGCCTATCTGCCCGGTGCCTCCTCCGGCCTAACAGCGCCCGCACATCCTGTTGCCTGCTGCCTTCGCAGCGCTGCGCCTGGCCCCACTGTGCTACCGCCCGTCACACACCCGCTGCTCCGCTTGCCCCATAGTGGCTTGTCATGGCCAGCGCAACGCTCGATAGCGCAACAGCCCGGTCTTAGCTCGCTCTCCTGCTTTTGCCACCCCACCGGCCTCGCTCTTTCGTCACTGCGCGGTCCGACATCACCCAAATACCGAGAGAAGCAATCGGTTGTCGGACCTCGCCAGTTTATGCATATCATTCTTGCGTAGGGGTCGTGCTAAGCTTCTCTGTATCGTTCCAACTTTTAACGAATGTCCCGAAGGACACAGCCTGGGCCGCGGGGTCCAATCCGCCGCGCTGTCGGTTGCTCCCCCTTCAGGGTCTTAGCGCCCGCTTCCACTGCACTAGTTCTCCGCTCGCCGTTGCTCAGCGCTGTATTCCAACAGCAGTATCTGGCACAGATCAGTGCCAGATCCATTCCCCAAGTTATGCGCCTCACCCTTGCGCAGGGGCCATGCTAATCTTCTTTGTATTGTTCCAATTTTAACGGATGTCCCGAAGGACTACCACCTACAGCACCCTGCGGCCCTACACAGTAACCCGGGGTAATTCAAAGATGTCGTTTTCACTCCTCTGGCTCCGTCAACTGGACCTGGACACAGACCTGTATCACAACAGCTCACGAGTATACCCACCGAACTAGGCTCCTGGGTCCCGCACCACCCGCTGTGCTGCGCCCCAGGCAAAACGTGGCGTGGTTAAGGGTAGCGCAGGCAGCCACCAACACAACCTGCAATTGCACTTCAGGCAACTCCGCAGATACAACTCACTCCACGCGACCCTATATCAACCCCGGTATCGCGCCCCGAAGCGGGACGCGAGTAAAAAGATAAAAGCTAAAACAAAAATGACAAAAGGTATGTAAAAAAATTTAATAAAAAAAACAAAACGGGAAAAGGGAAGTTCCCATGGATCGGGCCCGCCGTCGCACCTGCCAATAAAACCGAGGGGGATAGCCCTTTCGAGCCCTCAACCCTTCAGGTTTCGCTCCATCCTGCTCCGCTGGTGCTGCGCCGATGCCCGCTGGTCTCGATCCCCGAACCACCGTAATAGTAGTCCAATGTCATAACCTATAGGGCTAAGCCCAAACCTGCAACAGTTACACCCAAGACTCCATATAGGATGATACAGCGTGACCGTTCAGGGCCGCAAAAGCGTCTTGCGGCATTCTTCAACCCACGTCTACGCGCACGGCCACCGAGAGTCCGTGCCGACCTATCACAATCACACCGTCGCCGTCGTTGCTGATGCCGTCGTCGGGGTCGTTCTCCGCTCGTGCGCTCGACTGGGTCAGGAGTAGCCATCGAACGAAAATACCCCCTAGATCCTAGTTTAATCAAGAATAACCAGAAATAAAAACTTAATGATAAAAATAAAAATAAAAAGACTAGCATCCGCGCCGGTTTTCGTAATCAATATCAAGGGGTGAATCATGCGCGCCTTAAACCTGCGCGCTCACGCACTCTTTACTCTAGTCAACCATTTTGTCAACGCAAATTATAGACACGGCCGTGCCTAGCGCGGTATACTTAAACTTTAACCCAAACTAGTTTTCCGTCACTTGCAAAAACCCAGGGCGGATACCCTTGTAAGGGTATTCGCACCGACAGCTTACCGGGCCATATTAATCGACGTCCCCGTCGCTTTGCCAAATCAGAAAGCTATAAATCCATCCACACTCCAAATGTTGACGAGAGAGGAGCCAATCCTATTAGCCGACAAACACAGGGTAGAGGCCTCCATCAAAGCATGCCTTCACAACTATATGCTGCCAGGTTTCTAACCTGGGCCTCTCACCGCCCAGAAATTAGGATGCTGACCGCATAAGTTTCAAAGACCTTTCCAATCATCCTCTCCCCCGTCCTAGACAACCTTCGGCCTCTCGTTGGGTGTCCATAGTCCTGGCAAAAACTAGGGACGCGGACCTTAATCGAGACCTTTGAAGGCACTCTCGCCTTCCTTTTCAAAAATATCTCGCAATCAAATACTCATAAGCATATACGTATACTTAATATCCGCTCAACCCTTTCTGCAGTCTAGTACCGAAAGGTTAGGTCTCTATCTTGGCCCACAATAGCCTGGCTGATCGGGCCAAGACTACGGCCCACCGCATTGTTATTTAACGGCAGTACCCCTCGTTGGTTACGCAACGATAGGTTTTCTCCTGATAAGCATTCAATCAGGTTTCTCCAAAAAATTCTCAGCCATCACTATCTCGCGGAGTAATTTCACTGGGGCGGGCATCCCCCCTTAAACTCTTACCCACGCGGTCCCGCAGCCAGGTTGCGCCGGCTAGCAGCCATCCAATGGGGTTACGCCCTAGAGGTACTAACTTATTTTTCGTTAGCTTGACCTTTCTTCTATATGTCCAAGAACTAACACAAGTGGTTAGACGGAGCGTCGCAAAACAAAATCACGGACCCACTGCGCAATACGTAGGGGTCTGAAGGCATTTACCAGCCTTTCTACAATAGGCATGACATTCTTCGCACGCTCACAATAAAATCACCGCTAGGTTCACCAGGCCGTGACCCCTGACTTGATCAGAGCCAGCAGTCACCTATCCTGAGACATCTCTCGCCCTGCACTCATTGCGACTTTCTCAAATATTCCAAGCAAAAGTGACCCTTTTTGTCAGACTTTTATCACCCATCAGACAGCTCACCATGCCATGAATCTGTTTATTCACCTCTGAGGGTGAGTCCTCCAACAACAAAAACATCCCCTTTTCCAAAATTCCAAAGGGCTCTCATCATAAACAAAACACCCTCTCTTCCAAAAATCACGAGGGGTCTTGTCATAAAACGAAACTTTCCCTTCTCAAAACTCGAGGGGGTCTCATCATAACACACAACATCACAAAACATCCCCTTTTTCAAAATCCAAGGGGGCTTATCATAAACAAAATCACTGAGAGACCATTTTATGGGTCCTCATCACAATTTAAGCAACCAACAATCAACATGGTAAGCATTTTGAGCCTCCAGGGCTCATAAACCTTCAAAAATCCTCACAACCTCTCACAAATGGGTTGCGCTTCTTCCCCTTATACTCTGCCCTATCAACTGCCCGTGGGTAATTTTGCTTACAATCATATTCACAGTACTCATGGCAAAATAAGATGTTTTTCACACACTGTCCATACAAACCCACCATACATCAGAGTACAACCACACATGTGAGAGAGACACGTGATCGTCACATATAAGAATGGTCCCTGAAATAAAACCTCATCATAATATACACTCAGGGAGTACAATGTCTCACACAGAAAGTGTCTCCCAATCATAGCTCGCTCAACTCAAGCCACACCAAACCCATACTGACAACAACCCCTAGAATACATGTCAGATCTGTCTCTCAAAGGTCAGGGCGTAGGCTACCTGAATATGTACATACCTCATCTAGATTACCCTGATCCTCAAGATCCCAGCTCAGTAGGAACACTAGAGTTCAGATCTAGACTAGTAGCAATCATCAAAAAGGTCTTCTATGTCTAAGAGGGTATCACACAGAACCTAAGCTGATGCCTCACAAGACACTCGCCCACTTACATAGACAAACCAGCCCTACCTCCTCAACTCCTCCTGGTTTTGCCTATATAACTGAGCCCTAAGTCCATCTGCGGACTTCTCTACTATCCTACCCTGTCTATCATATATCTTACCCCCTACCTCTAAGACCTTCCTTGCTGCCTTATCCTCAAGGAACTTGAGACAATTCAGAGCCAGATGCATGCCCCTCTCGCAGTAGAAGCATAGTTGATCAATCTTCCTCTTGAACTTCTTCTTCCTGGGCTGAGGGGGTGGCGATGAAGGACATCCTACCAAGGTACTGACAACCCCCTGCTGCTCTGATCGAGGAGCTGCGGTACTAACGACCTCCTGCTGCTCTGTCCCACCAACCGGTCCCCCAGACCCAGATCCAGTAGCCTAAGATCCCACAAGAGGTTAACGGGGCATCTGGTTTTCAAGCCTGAAATTTATGAAATTAATTGTTTTTTTTAGGGTTTTTTTCTGTGATGGGGTCGTAAGAAGTGCATTCTATAGATTGGTGTGAAGTGTTGTTAAAATGACTGTCTGGTTTTCTTATAAATGGGCCTGAAAAATGAGTGCTCGGTTAACCTGCTCTCCAAAATCCCAGTCTGCTCCTCAAATCCCCTGTCGCTGGGACGTACTCAGGCGTGTCCAACCTCTGAGGTCTCCTCTCGAGTGTCTCTCCTGGCACTGCCATGGGCTGCTCCTCAATCTCCTCTGGTCCATACTCATGTGTGCCCATTCTCTGGAGCCCGCCCTCGATGACACCCTCTGCCTCAGTCCCCATCTCTCTCTCAAGAGGCTTCTCTATCCTCTGCTCGAGTGAAAACAAACTCACCTCCTCCTGCATAGTATGCACCGCCTTTAGGAGCACGCCCATGGATCCCTCTGCTGAGCCCTGMGCCGACTCACTGCTAGATGGTGGTAGCCCCTCCTCAACTGCCAAAGGTACGACTGGGCCCGCCGCTGCTACTGGCAGCGTCGCGAGTTCGGTAGGGGCTCTGAACTCGAACGCCTCTCTCTCCGCCTGTCTCTGGGCTCTCGCCTCCTCTGGCTCCAGTATAACTCTCCCCATAGGTGGCTCCTGGCGAGGCTCTGCTGCAAATGGTTGTCCTGACAACCTATGTCCTGGCTGCCTCTGCTCTCCCTGTCTGCTGCTCTCTGCCTTATCCATCGCTGCCTCAGGCTCTCAATGATAGCTGCCTGACTGGCTACCAACGCCCTGAGTTCCTGGATTTCCACCTCCATAGCCTTCAGGCGTACTCCATGGCTTGCTTCCTTCATCTTCTTCCCTGCCAGATCGCTCTCCAATAACAAGTACCGGTCAAAAGTTGTCTTCGCCAGGAACTTGATTTTGCGATCTAACCTCTCTTCCGCCTTCCTGGCCACCCTAAACCCGGCTCTGACTGGCGAGGGAAACTCCTCTCCTCTTTGCTCCCAGAAGTCCCTCCACATCTCTGGAATCTCCGGAGCCCTAGCTGACGCGCTGGGTGGCTGACCTGGGAATGCTCCTGCTGCCTCCGATCTCTGTCTCTCCTGTTGCTCCTCCTGAAGCTCCCCCGCTGCCTCCAGCCTGTGCCTCTCTTGCAATATCTCATCTATCCGCCTGGTTCTTCTCGCCCTCTTTTCTTCAGCCGTCGCTCCAGCCGGCGCCCTTTCTCTCGTGCGGAGGTCCACCCTCTTTGGGATCTCTGCTTCCATCTCCTTCTCGGGCTGGCACGGCTCCTGGCGCGGCTCTGCATGTGCTGGCTCCTCCAGGTCTCGGTGCTCCAGGGCATAAGCTGCTAGATGTTTGTCAATCAGGGTCAAGACCTCTTTCCTTACAGCTGCCCTCTCTCTCCTCCTTTCTGCTCTTCCTTCTGGCAAAGGGGTCTTTTCTGATGAAGGCAATGGGGCCTCCTCTCTCTGCAACCTCTCCCCTGCCTGGCGAGTGCTCCCTGGTGAATCCCCGAGTCTCAAACCCACCGCTGGCGTCTGTGGGGGCGTGTCCTCTCCAACCTCTATCACTTCCTTCCCTGCACGTCTCCCCTCATTGCCTGACCCTCTCTCTCACTGAGTATCCTGGACCTCCTCCCGTGGCACCTCTTCTCGTGGCACCTCCTCTCGTGACACCTTCTCCTGTGGCACCTTCTCTCGTGACATCTCCTCTCGTGGCACCTCCTCTCGTGACACCGCCTCTCGTGGCACCTCCTCTGCCTGCTCTCCATGCTCCTCGCCCTGAGGCGACGCTCTCCACTGAGAGATATCCAAATGTGTCTCCAACTCCCTCAAGGTCCCCTCATATGCTGACGGCTCTTCCTGTGTGCGTGCTGGCGACCTCCTCAATCCACCCTAGGTAAACCGATGGAACTCCACTGGTCCCAACCCACAATCAGGGTATGCCCCTCGCTCCTCAGCCTCTGGCTCCGGCTCTGGTTCCTCTTCTCTCCTGGCTAGGGCCTTCCGTCCTCCTCGAGATGGTCTCGCCTCCCTGGGCTTAGGGTCTCTCTGCCTCTGACTCCTCTGACGCCTCTCGACTCTGGGCTGAGGGGGCTCTGGTCGTCGAAAGGCCTCTCTCAGATGTGCCTTGCAGCTCTCCCAGTCCCGGGCCATGTCTCTGACCTGCTTAGCCAGTGCCCTCTTCGCCTTTCTGGTCCAGAGGGCTAACGTCCTCGCCCACTCATCTCTCGGTATACCCTGCCCCTGCATGAACCACTCGAAGGGAGGGATAAAGTCTGCCACATTTTCGATTTCCAGACGGATCGGCCTGCTATCTGGTCCCACAAGCGAGGGTCGCAACTCCTCCATCCTCRTCTCCACTTCCTGCCTCGTCGTCGCCTCCCTACGAATCCTGGCAATGGGCTCCTCGAACGTGCCTGCTCCCATCAGGTCCTCATGCCTTTCTACCTGGCCAGGTCCTTCCTCAATCGTCCTCATGTCCTTTACCAGGCTATGCGAGCTGGCCAGCGCTAATTCCATCATCCACTGAACATCCTTACCACCCCAGGGATCCTCTTCTTCAAAGGGTTTGAGGACTAGCTCAGCCCTCCGTTCGTACCCATTTGGCGCTTGCCAGATAGGATAGCCTACACAGCTGGGTACTCGCGGCGACCATTTGTTGATGTGGAGACAAACATCTCCTTCCTGATCCAGAAATCCATCAACTGGGGGCGTATTCTCCACCGCCTCCCCTTCCTGTTTATCCCAGTTGATCCGACTCAGCCCGTCCGCCAGGTTCTTACAGCCAGGAATCCGCTCCAATTCGAAGTTAAACATCCAGATATACGTCAGCCACCTGGCAACCGTCGGATCCGATGGAACGTAATTCCTTAGAGAGTAGGCCAGGGCGGTCGGATCCACTCTCAAAATAAACCTCCTGCCGAAGATGTAGTTCCGGAAGATTCGCAGACAGTGGAGGACAACAAGGGTCTCCCTCTTGAACTGAGAGTGGCTCCTCTTAGTCGAACATAGGGTTCGACTCTCAAATCGCAGGGGTCTTTCCTTTCCCTCCATGTCCGCCTGGATTAGAACTCCCCCTAAGGCAGTCGGCCCCGCATCTGTTTCAACAATGAAGGGTCGTGTTTCCGTGACATCATAATCCGGTGCTTCTAGCACCAGCCCTCCTTCTCGAAATTCCTCCTTCATTCTGGCCACCACCTCTTCCTGCTCTTCACCCTAAACCCATTCCTGATCCTGACGGACTAACTTTCTCAGGTGTTCAGTCTTAGCGGCAAAATTCTTGACGAAGACCCTCCAAAATCCACATGTACCAAGGAAGCTCCTGGCATCAGTTATTGAGTGGAACGGAACTGGCTACTCAGTAATCTTGTCCGTCTTCTTCACATCCGGCCTCCGGTCCTTCTCGCTGCAGACGAACCCCAAAATAGTCGCTTCCCTCATGCAGTGCCTGGACTTGGTCCCGCTCGCCGTGAGGTTATGTTCCTCAAGCAAGCTCAGGACTTTTTCGAGGTCCTGGATATCCTTCCAGACAAAGCGCCTCACCCCTGGAAAAACTTCATCGCTCTCTTTCACCGTCGGCCTCTTCACTGCCAAATCGTCGATGTATGGCTGTGTGATATGGGGGCTGACTGACTGCATAGCCCGAATCATGGCCCGTTGGACCATTGCTACCGCATTGGTTCACCCTTGTGGGGCCACATTCATGTGGATTAGCCCTCGCGGCGTGTGCATTGGGCAACCCTCCAGCATCCCACACGGTCACCGCATTCAGTCTTTGCAAATCTTGCACCCACCGCAGCGTCCCGTTAGGCTTGATAAAGCAGAACCACGAGGACGCATACGGTCCACTCGAATAGTCGGCGATGTGCGTACGTATTTTTGCCATCGAGGTAATCCACCACCTTCTTTTCCTCGTCAGGATTAGGATATCGCGCCCCTCGCATGTTCCAAGGCTCGTGTGGCACGGTATGGATGCGGATCATAGGTATTTTGTCCACGTCCAGCCTGCCACGCTCCCCGTCATTAAACGCATAGGCGCTGTGCCTCCTCTTCATCAACTCTACCACCAATGTCCGCTCCTGAGGCAGTAGGAAGTCGGGCTCCCCTATAATCAACTCCCCTTCATTCCCTTCGTTGATACGACATGGTCCTGCTAAAGCACTCTCTCTCATTCGCCGTATCAACCCTCGTTCCCTCTCGTAATATGCTTCCTCGTCCTCTGTAACGAAGACGGAAACCGGGCGGCACTTCTTATCTACCGTCTTGTACCGCCTTTGGGAACCCTGCTTGAGCCGTCCCCTAAAAAAGGCCGACTCACAGATTGTGCTTGCGCTGATGCGGGGTTCCTTCCGCTGCCCGGGAGCCGATGTACCGGCTCCAACCTTCCTGCCTCGGGGCATTCCAAAACTTGCTCCCTCAGAGTCCGGATGGCATCCGGATCTGCCATCTCATGTGCGGCCACCAAGTCCATGGCCTTCCCAAAATCTGACAGACTGAGAGAAAATGCTTCCACCCTCTCTCCTACTTCGGGCTCTGCCCGGAGCCTCCGGCACTCACCTTCCGACTCTTCAATCGTGAATGATCCTGGATTGGGCCAGTTCCTTATACTCCTTGGTCCTGTATTCCTGCAGGTAATTATTTCGTAATTCCCGCAGGCAGGATCGCATAAGAGGAGGATTAACGTCCCGTTATGCTTATTGAATATCACGGTCTCCGTCCTGCTTAGGAATGACCTCCCCAGGAGGATTCCGTGATCCACGTCCGGCATGATGAAAAAGCAAGCACGGGCCTTCACCTTTCCAACCTCGATGAATACATTCGAGACTGTCCCACAAAATACGGCCTTGCAGCTGGCTCCGTGCAGAATACCGCAGTCGGAACGGTCTATATCCAGCCCGAATCTGATCGCGTCCGCCTCCCGAATAATGTTCATCTCTGCCCCTGTGTCCACCATTGCCGCGCACTTGGAACCCTTCACCACTAAATCCACCGTGTCGCAGGCTACGCACTTTCAATCCATCTTTATGCCTAACTCCGCCCACTCCGCCTCCTTGGGCAGAATCGTGCCTCGATAGACGTTGGGCACCAAGCGTCGCGACAACCTCCCTTTCAATTCATCGTGGAGCCGCGGGGCTGACGCCAGGATCTTCTTTAGGGTCATGAGATCGTTATGCCCTTCTAGCAGCCGGTCGATCACTTTCTCCACGTCAAACCCCTCCTCCAACCGAACCGCATACTTCTTCCTTTTGGGCGGTCCGTCGCGCACGACCGGCTCGACCTCTCCCCTATCTCCCTTTTTCCGTTCCCGTTGCTCCACTCTCTGATCCTCTTCCCTGTGCAGACTCTCGTCCTCTTCCTCCTCATTGTCGTCATCCTCCACTTCCACGATCTCTTTTCTTTTTCCTGGCTCCGGCTCCCTCCTTGGAGGTTCTTGGCTGGCGCTGACTTTGGCTTGATTTCTCGTTCGTGCTGCCTGTGTAAGCCAGGCCTGCGGAGTGAGGGGTCTCCCCATCATTCCTGATTGTGGGCACGACGCCACCACATTTACTCTGGGTCGCCCAGGCGCTGACTCCGGACCAGAGTCGTAGAGGAACACCTTGGGGATGTTAGACTTCCATTTCCTCACTTCCTCACAGAGGCCCACCAACTTCTGTTGGTACCTCCCTATCTTATCCAGCAGGTCCTCCATTTTCCTCAACAAGACAGACGAAGGTTCCATCTTTTCTTCCTCATTCTCGTCATCTGACTCAATGATTATGGGCTCTTCCCCCTTACTTCCTCCTCGTGGCCCTTGAGTCATTTCCTCATCGCTTCCCACTTCCTCCACCCCAATCGGTGGTTCCCCCTTTTCCTGCCATAACTTGAATTCCTCTATCTCCACCGATGGTCCTTTCTTCTCCTGCCATAGCCTGAACATGGCAGGGGGTGGCGGCCCAGCTGCCGCCCTTCGTTGGGCTTTCGCCCTCACTTGTCCAAGCCTTCTGTCAATGTCTTCCCCAAACTGATCGTAGATGTTCCCATCCATAGTGGAGGAAATCAGCCCGCTCCTCTCGTCTTCCCGTCTTATATTACAGAACCTTATAGTGTGGCCTTGTTGGTCACAATGTTGGCAGATGGCCGTCCTCCAGTCAAAACGGGGTCTTCCATACCCCTGACTTCCCTGATCCCCCTGGCCTTGATACCCCTGGCCTTGGTACCCTTGGCCTTGGTACCCCTGGCCTTGATTCCCTTGGCCTTGGTACCCCTGGCCTTGGTACCCCTGACCTTGATTCCCTTGGCCTTGCTACCCCTGACCTTGACCATTCCATTGCCTTCCTCTTCAGCCGCCATTCCTGCCTCGCCCCCTTCCTCCACCCCTCCCTCCGTTGCCTTGATTGCCCTGCCCCTGGTTCCCACCTCCAGCCACGCTTCCCTGTGAACTGGGGGCGGGTGACGGTGGCGGGGACACAGGCTGGGCCTGGGTTGCGGGGTAGATGGGTGGCGGCATACTTGTTTGCGGTCCGGCTACTGGTGGCGGGCTACCCCATGGTACGATTGCATTGATCACCGGCCAGGGCCACTGTCCGTAGGACGGCGCCCCTCCTTGCGAGGGACCCGTACTAGATGACGGAGCCGCTACATTTGAAGGGGTTGTTGTCAATGCCTGGGGCTCTTGCACTTTTCCTGATCCCCGACCGCCCTGCGCCAAGTTACGCACTTTGCGCTGGGCCTTTGTCAGGTGCTGCGGCACCGGCTCTTCCTCTTCCCAGAGTTCTTCTTGAATAGCCTCCTCTATCACCGGCTCCTTTCCTTTCACTCGGACAACCGTCACTACCCGCCTTTGCACCACCGACTCTGTCGCATACCCCAGCTGTGCCAATACGTCTGTAACAATCCTTGTTACCCCCGGGGTCCCAGAGGCGGTCGCATCTCTTTCCTTTYTCTTCTGCCTTTGCAGGCGTACCTGACGTTGCTCCACCTGGTCCAAACACCCAACTTCCACCCCTCTGTCAATGGTGGCCCAGGTGAGCTTGGTGCTACCCCCTCCATGTCTCGTCAACTCGACGGCCTCCGATGCCGTGAGTAGCCCTAGGAAAATGACGCACTGTGCTTCCTCCGAAATCCGCGCCCTCTTCTTAAATTCTTGAACAAAGACCCCTATCGTCGTAAAATCTTCTTTATTCATTGCCTCAAAGTCCGCGGTAGTCAATAGCCCGTCTCCCAGGCGGCATTTCCTCTGCATCCCCTCCTTGAACCTCTCCCAGCTACCTTGGGCCGCATCTATGACTTTCTTCACTTCCTGGTGGTAGATGTGGAGGACATACTGAAGAATGCGTTGAAATTTTACCACGTCCAACCACCCAACCAAAGCTTGTTCCACCCGTTCCAGCCATTCCGAGACTCTTTCCCCACAAAAGTGGAAGGTATCGACTTTAGGGATATTGCTCGGGTTCCTTCCATGTCGGTCAATGGCCGCAATAAGGTCATCGAGCGTCAGACCCTTCTTGGGACCACCCGATGCGTCGCCTCCTTGCGACATCTTGACAGACCTTTCTCTTCAAGCTCGCTGATAAGAGAAAAACAAACACATCCCTTTATTCCGTATTACACCTTGACCGGTCTATTTCATCCGTCCTACCTAACCCTTAGTACTTACTTTTACCCAATGCTACGCGTTCGTCCTTCATACCTTCCCTTACTCTGGTAGGTAAATTTCCTCACCTCTACTTAGTCATTTATTATCTCTCCTCACTTTCTCGTCCTTCCTTTATGCCTTTTTTCATTCACTTCTCATACCCGGATGTCGTTCCACCAGGAACAACGGTAGGCTTTCCGTTATCCCCGGCAACGGCGCCACCTGTCGAGCGCATCGGTCCAGCACCGCACCAGGGCAGCGCAGGACCCTCCCG